GTCATGCTGGCATGGCTCCCACAGACGGATCTAGAAGTTGAAAGTCATTGAATATCAGTGTTTAGGAAATTACTCAGCAGTATATGACAAAATTCATTGAACGAAGTGATAGTGTTTGATAGCTTACTGAGGATAAAATCAAAGCGTATAGCAGGCTAATATGATAGTTGAATCGAGGAAACGAACAGCAAAACTAATTTTGCTGATTTCTATGGCATATATCGTAGATATATCATCATTAGGAGACAAGAAGCTATAGATTGAAGATGTATCTGACAATACAAATAAGCTTTTGTAGTATAACGTTTTTAAATGAATCAAATTGTTAGATGAATATTTGGAAACATTAACATTTTCGAAGTGATGAAAATTCAGAGGACGCGTTTCGACTATAAAATTTAGGGGTGTTGGCTTATTAGCATTAGTATTAGGAAAATGCTAACACTTTCGTATTAGAATCAAGAAAAAGCTTAATGCTTTTTCTATTAGTGTTAAAAAAATAATTGAATCTTTGGTATAAGCATTAAATTAAAATTAACATCAAATTTTTATTATTGAATACATTTTTCGTATGTATTAGTACTAGCTAATTATATTGTTAATCCTAATACTAATTCATAACTAATGCCAGTGTTAATTAACTCTTTTAATACTAGCACAACAGTATTCTGGCATTTTTTTAAAAATCTAATGCAAAAGCATTTTAAAAAACGATTAAAATTAATGCAATGTTAATAGTAAGCTAGTACTCCTGATAAAAACTGTTATAATTTTGATTTATTCATTTATTTGACATTTTTTGGAAAGTAATTATTTTAAAAGCTCTAACAATATCTAATAAATTCATATAACTGAGCGTTTGTGGGTTCCACACTTTGACCTCGAAAGAGGTCACACTGACAAACTTTTTCTTGTAGAAAGGCTTTTCAAAATATCTTTCTTTCGTGAAGTTCGGATAGAGTCTGTCAGGATTAATAAGTCCGTTAACGCAAGCTATCCATTGACTAAATTAGGTATCAGGAAGGCTTAGCTCCACTATCGTCAGGACACAGCGCACAACTGTTAGGAGCATGTGAGAGAAAAATCCTATGGACCTCAACTTCTCCGAAAACCTGCACGCTCCGTTCTTACAATAGCGGTGAAAAATCTTTCCGAAATCTGATTACTCGAAATTTATCTATCAGCGATTAAGACGTGAAGATATTGTTTCTCAGCTTCAGGATTATCAAACCAGTGTTGTTCGCGTCGATGTGGTCACAGCAGGGATTCAGTTCTTTTCTGAAAAAAACAAAAACGGAATACGACAATATTTTCCACCGGTGAGCTACTTAATCACTTACTATTTATCAAATAGGTTCTAAGTAAAAAAAGGTGGTTTTAATATTGATGATTAAGTGATCACTAACATTAAATATTTAGTGTGGTCATTATTTTAACCCTGATATGAAACTAATGTGAATGTTTTACCCCACTGCCAAACTCCAGTTGAATTGATAATATTCGTTATCTCGAATATTACACGCAGAGAAGAACCGCTAACGCCCAGGTGAGCGGCTCTTCTCTGCGTGTAATATTCGAGATAACGAATATTATCAATTCAACTGGAGNATCTTGAAGAGCCATCCAGAGAGGTACCTATGACTTTTCGTAGGCTACTCAGAAAGGACAGTTATAAGTTTTCAAGGATTATGCGAAGGACGCATTACTTCTTCAGTACGAGGGAGAATAGATGCTCATCGAAGAACCTATTTTGAACGTGAATTGATGGAGAAAAAAGTATATAGCTTCATCTATTTCGTGATATTGTGAAAAAAAGTTATCAAAATATTGTGAGACGGTTAAAATACTGTGTTGACGAATCTCTTGATAGTTAGTATTAATTGGAATTTTTTTATTTAACACTTCGATTGAAAATGGGACGTTCAGTGATTACTGTTAAGCAAGTACCATTGAATTTGATATTTTTTGGAACTCATCTCAATTTTGGAAGAAAATGGTGCGTGTCAGTTTTGAATGAATGCTTTAGAGGCTCCATCATTAGTACTTAGATCGTTCTGAAACATAGTAGGTTCTAATAATTTCGTCTAACTGTGATGCTTTTTTGTTTTTCATGTAGAAACAGAATGTTATTGAAAGAGTTAATCAATAGGATGGAGCGCTTTTTGATCCAAAAGAGTCAGGATGGGATGGATCCCACAGACGGATCTAGAAGTTGGAACTCATTGAATATCAAGTTTAGGTAATACGCAGCAGTATATGACAACATTTATTGAAAGAAATTATAGTGTTTGGTAGTTTACTGAAGATAAAATCAAAGTGTGTAGCAGACTAATATGATAGTTGAATCGAGGAAACGAACAGTAAAACTAGTTTTGCTGATTTCTATGACATGTATCGTAGATATATTATCATTAGGGGACAAGAAGCTATAGATTGAAGATGTATCTGACAATATAAATAAGTTTTTCTAGTATAAGGTTTTTAAATGAATCAAATTGTTAGATAAATATTTGGAAATGCGAACATTTTCGAAATGATAAGAATTTAGAGAACGCATGTCGACTATAAAATTTAGGGGTGCTGACTTAGCATGAGTGTTAGGAAAATGCTAACACTTTTGTACCAGAATTAAGAAAAAGATTAATGCTTTTTTTATTAGTGTTAAAAAAGTAATTGAATGCTTGGTGTTAGCATTAAATTAACATTAACATTAAATTTTCATTATTGAATACATTTTTTGTGAGCATTAGTATTAACTAATTATATTTTTAATACTAATACTAATTCATCACTAATGTCAAAGTGTTAATTAACTCTGGTAATACTAACACAACAGTATTCTGGTATTTTTTTAAAATTCTAATGCAAAAGCATTTTAAAAAAGTATTAAATTATAAGGCCATACTAATGCTAAGCCAGTACCCCTGATAAAAACTATTATAATTTTGATTTATTCATTTATTTGACGTCTTTTAAAAAGTAATTATGTTAAAAGCTCTCACAATATATTATAAATTCATAAAAGTCAGAGTTTGTAAGTTCCACACTTTGATCTCGAAAGGGGCCCCACTGACAAGTTTTTTCTCGTAGAAAGGCTTTTCAAAATGTCTTTCTTTCGTGAAGTTCGGATAGAGTCTGTCAGGATTGATAAGTCTGTTGATGCAAGCTATTCATTGACTAAATTAGGTATTAGGAATGCTTAGCTCCGCTATCGTCAGGACACAGCGTGCAGCTATTAGGAGCATGTCAGAGAAAAATCCTATGGACCCAACTTCTCCGAAAACCTGCGCGCTCCGTTCTTACAATAGCGGTGAAAAACCTTTCCGAAATCTGATTGCTCGAAATTTATCTATCAGCGATTAAGACTTGAAGGTATTGTTTCTCAGCTTTAGGATTATCAAACCGTAATGTTGTTCGCGTCGTTGTGGTTACAGCAGGGTATCAGTTCTTTTCTGAAAAAAAACAAAAGCGGAATACGACAATATTTCCCACCGGTGAGCTACTTAATCACTTACTATTTACCAAATGGGTTCTAAGTAAAAAGGTTAATTTTAATATTGATGATTAAGTAATCACTAACATTTAACATTTAGTGCGTCATTATTTTACGCCTAATATGAAAATAATGTGAATGTTTTACCCCACTGTCAATCTCCAGTTGGACTGATAATATTCGTTATCTCGAATATTACATGCAGAGAAGAACCGCTAACGCTCAGATGAACAGCTCGTGAGTCTGAGTTCTACACTGTTAATATGAACCTAAACCCTAAATAGCCCCTCAGAAGTTATTAGTATCCCTGGATAGACCTTGCAGAAATATAGGTATCCTCCTGGACAGGCCTTGAAAAGTCATAAGTATCTTCTCAGGAAAAGCTCTGACGAGTCCTAAGTATTCCACTGGATTACTCTTGATGAATCATAGGTACCCTCTCAGTATCCCTTGAAGGACTCTGAGTACCTTCCTCGGATAGCCGTGAAAAGTGAGAAATAGCAACCCATAATTTACTACGGTGGGAAAGAAGAGATCGCGAATCATATTTGATCTTTGCATTCAGTTGTTGGATCGGAGCTCTTTAATCGACTTGAAAACGGCTAGGTCCGTGCTTCGTCAGCAGAGCGGAAACGGCGAGATACGGCCCGTATTCTGCCCTTCTGATAAGTCACCGGAATCATGCTGGAAACGGCAACCGTATCCGGAGATTGCTTTCAGGTTCAGGAATAGGCGGAAGCTAGACCGAAAACGGAGACATGAACCGGTGGGAGAGTCCTGCTTTCGGAATTTCCCGGAAATCGATTGAATCCGACCGTTTCCTTCCGTACATCTTCGGCCTGGAGCAGTCTGGTAGGCCATAATTCTAAATCTGTAACCATATAGTTTAAATTTTAAATACAATCCGTCTATATCTGCAAGTAGTCTTTGATTATATCCACTTTTAAAAGTGAAATGTTTTTTAAACAATGTGAAGGAAATAAAAATAAAAGTATATGCGTAACTTAATTGTAGAAGTCAATGTTTTCGTATTTAAGATTTCTCTCGTCTCTGTTATTGATAATTAAGTTAAACTAAATGATTTTATTTTAAAATGTTTCAAACATTAAGAAAAGCAAAACTGAAGATCTCAACTACCCAACTGAATGATAAAACACGATAAAAAAGATAATAGTGAAAAGCTTTTGTGATTAAACGAGTTACAATTTTCTAAATTATGAATATTAAAAAATGTTGACAAAAACAAAAGTTTAAGTTAATCTATACATAATCGACCATAATTTTGGCACTAATGTCTTTGCTCAATATTTCAGCAAAACATGCAACTGATGTTCCTGTCCCAGTACAATCGGAAGCAATTTCTAAAAATACCATACCCAATTGAGCACGAGGATGTGGGTGAAGAACTGCCCCAACACTCACACCCTCATAAAGTAGAACTCATGACACTCGAATCGAACCGCACCAGAACTAATTTTCAAGGAATGAATTTAAACCAAACTCGATCCAAAAAATCTGGTTCGATTCGCTGTCTGTTCTTAATATTTAAAAGGTATCTATATTCATCATAATTCAAGAGAATTTCTCTTTGTATATTAAAACATTTTATTATAAGAAAATCGTTATACTAAAAAAAACTGCATAGAAATTCAAAAAGAGCTAATCATAAAAAAATAAGACTACAAACTAAACTTAAATAATAATTAATCATGTTAATTTTTGTTTTCTTGAATATGTAATTTTTTCATTGAACGTGTAACACGATCACTTGCAAGTCGAGCTGGTGCTGGACTCAAATCACAGTCATCAAAATCTGATCGAAGCCAATCTAACATTTCTGTTTTAAGCACAGGCGGTGCTGCTGTTGCTTGACTTTCCTTTGAACTTGTTTTTATATCAGTTAATGGTGCTGGTAGTGATAATATGTCATCTTGATTATGATCAAGAGTTTCATGATGTTGTGCATGAATTTTATAATAATTTTTCGTACAATATGCTGATGGAATATATTGATTACATATTTTACACATACGTTTTCCTAACTCTTTTTTTACTGATGAACAACAGTAATCAAATGGTAACATTTCATTCTGAAAAAAAATCGTTTTGTTTTTATTAATATAAAGTGAGCAGTAAGGACAAATTAATGCTGTAGTAAAAGACTTTTTTGTTTCTACTTAGATTAGTCAATGATATGTGTTGACAAATGAAAATAATTGACTTTATTTTTGTTTCTTATNATTTATCTAACAATTTGATTCATTTAAAAAGTAATTATGTTAACAGCTCTCACAATATATTCTAAATTCATAAAAGTCAGAGTTTGTAAGTTCCACACTTTGGTCTCGAAAGGGGCCCCACTGACAAGTTTTTTCTCGTAGAAAGGCTTTTCAAAATGTCTTTCTTTCGTGAAGTTCGGATGGAGTCTGTCAGGATTGATAAGTCTGTTGATGCAAGCTATTCATTGACTAAATTAGGTATTAGGAAGGCTTAGCTCCGCTATCGTCAGGACACAACGTGCAGCTATTAGGAGCATGTCAGAGAAAAATCCTATGGACCCAACTTCTCCGAAAACCTGCGCGCTTCGTTCTTGCAATAGCGGTGAAAACACCTTTCCGAAATCTGATTGCTCGAAATTTATCTATCAGCGATTAAGACTTGAAGGTATTATTTCTCAGCTTTAGGATTATCAAACCGTAATGTTGTTCGCGTCATTGTGGTTACAGCAGGGTATCAGTTCTTTTCTGAAAAAAACAAAAGCGGAATACGACAATATTTCCTACCGATGAGCTACTTAATCGCTTACTATTTACCAAATGGGTTCTAAGTAAAAAGGTTAATTTTAATATTGATGATTAAGTGATTACTAACATTTAACATTTAGTGCGGTCATTATTTTACGCCTAATATGAAAATAATGTGAATGTTTTACCCCATTGTCAATCTCCAGTTGGACTGATAATATTCGTTATCTCGAATATTACATGCAGAGAAGAACCGCTAACGCTCAGATGAGCGGCTCGTGAGTCTGAGTTCTACACTGTTAATATGAACCCAAACCCTAAATAGCCCCTCAGAAGTTATTAGTATCCCTGGATAGACCTTGCAGAAATATAGGTATCCTCTTGGGCAGGCCTTGAAGAGTCATAAGTACTCTCTCAGGAAAAGCTCTAACGAGTCCTAAGTATTCCCCTGGATGACTCTTGATGAATCATAGGTACCCTCTGAGTATTCCTTGAAGGACTCTGAGTACCTTCCTCGGATAGCCGTGAAAAGTGAGAAATAGCAACCCATAATTTACTACGGTGGGAAAGAAGAGATTGCGAATCATATTTGATCTTTGCATTCAGTTGTTGGATCGGAGCTCTTTAATCGACTTGAAAACGGCTAGGTCCGTGCTTCGTCAGCAGAGCGGAAACGGCGAGATACGGCCCGTATTCTGGCCTTCTGATAAGTCACCGGAATCATGCCGGAAACGGCAACCGTATCCGGAGATTGCTTTCAGGCTCAGAAATGGGCGGANCAATTTCTTGAATATTCAAATAAGGCATCATACGAAATGCATTCTTTTTATTGTCATTGTTCGTTTCTATACTTCTTTTCTTCATTGAATACATTACCAAATCAAAATAAAATACTTATAGACAATAAAGAAAAAAAGAGAGACGAAACATGCATACACATATATTATGTCTTTCGTTGAAAAGAGTTCAACTGTCAAAGGCAGCGACAACAGGGTGTGAGTGTGGCTGTGGGTGTAGACGTTCCCATACTCTCTAGTCTGCCTCCGCCCATATCCACATTTACTCCCACAGCCTCTTGAAGTTGGGCACATGAGTTTTTGGAAAAAATTTCGCAAAAGAATACTTACAAAGTGAGCAGAAAACATCAGCACTTCGCACAGGATTCGAAACTGTGCTGTGTTTGTGGCATTGTCGTTAATCACTCGGCTAAATACGAAGTGTGCTCACGTGAACTACATTTAGACGACCCCACATCTGATAGAACGGCTCATAAGGAACAATAAAAGGTATAAAAACGTTGATAAACTGTGATTAGTACGATGCGCATTTACTAGGCCATGTAAAACGGTTCAATAATGCGAGAAACGATGATCGTTAATGGTGGTCATTTCTGCATTGCCGTAAACGTCGGTGTTAGTGATGGCCGATTTGCTCGTTCACCCGCCGTTATTCAAAAGCATTTTTGGACATGTTTTGAAGGCTCAATTAGCATGCGAAGATGTATGCTTTGTGTATTCCCCTTAAGATGAGTACAAAAATTTGATATTTAACCGCGAAAGTGAAAGGGTGTTTGAGAAGTTTTTTCGCTTTCGTGCTTATCCCAACAAGAGAATTTTTATGAATGTGAGGCCTGTAGAAACCTTTTCGATCCTGTTCTGGCATAAATGGGCAGCTCCCAATGAGTTTTACACTACACTGCTATGTGGGTCGAGTAATAAAGTTTTCTGGAAAACGGCGCATGACGATGAGAATTGCTGCTATTAAAGACCGTAGAGTAGGACATGTATGTTTTCATTGCTCTTCGTCGAATTCTTTTTTAGCAATTCAGTGAATCTTTCTTTTTCTGTTTTTATAGTTTGTTGTTATGAATTTTGTCATTTTTTTCTTTGTTGACCATATGAAACAGTCTTATCTGGTCACTTTTACTGTAACATTTTCCCAATCTACGAATTTTCCACTTTTTTCTCTTCTGTCATACAGATTCACTTTCTCTCCAATATGATTCATGCCGTACACTTCGATGTTTCTTCTTCTCAATCGTTTATCTGGGCGTTCTACCCTTGACATATCCTAGCGGTACTAGTTAGATTTTGAAACAAGAAAAAATACTGCTTTTTTCAGCAGCGCTTTCTCTCTTTTATTCGATGTACTTTGAGTATAAAAATAACATAGCGTACGATGCACAAGTAATGGAACAAATGTCGAGTCCTATTTCTCTTCGATAGGGAGTGCTGGAAGAAATGTTTTTATACCAGAAAATATAGCCTTGTTTACTCTTTCGAATTGTATATAACTTATTTTTATAACACGTTCATAAATGAAATGACTTAACAGAAAAGAGAAGCGCCCTTAAAATGAATCTGCACTTTTCGTGAGATTCAGAAAAACAGGAAAAATATGTTGGTCCCTATATGTCTTCAATAAATCGGTCCTGAAAGAAACACTTTTTAAATCAGTTGAGATGAAAATTTTCTTCTCTATCGAACAGTCTATGATTTATATTTGTCAAACATTCTTAAATGAAATGAGACAAGAAAAAAAGAGAAACACCTGCATAATAAATTCACAATTTTAAGATGAACTCGTCAAAAAGATCTTGTTAGACAACAGTTAATTCGATCTCTGTGGACTCACTAAAAAGATCTGGTAAAACAATGGTTACTTTGACTTCTATGAACTCGTTAAAAATATTTTGTAAAACGACATTTAATAATAAATAACTGTTCTCTACAAGATGTTTATAATGAACTCATAGAAATGACAATTTTTTTTTATGCAAGTGTTTCTGTTTTTTCTAGTCTCATTTGATTTAAGAATGTCTGACAAATATAAATCAGATACTGTTCGATAGCGAAGAAAATTTCCTATCAAATGATAAAAAAGTATTCTTTTCAGGACCTATTTATCGAAGAGATCTTAGGATCGACATTTTATATTATCCTTTTCTATAAAAATTGTGGGTTCTTTTCATGGGTGCTTCTCTTTTCTGTTGCGCTGTTTCATATATGAACGTGTGATAAAAATAAGTTATATACGATTTGAAAGAAGAGAAAAAGCTCTATTTTCTCGTATCAAAACATGTCTTCTAGCACCCTTCTATCGAAGACAAATAGGGCCCGACATTTGTCTCATCACTTTTGTATCATACGTTAGTTCAAAGGAAGATACGATAATGAGTGTTGAGTAGAGTCAAGATGAGGGTGAGGGAAGAAGTAAATATGATACAATTCTCAACAAAAACGGTGAAGAGCACCCTCAATGAGACACTAAATGGTACAAAACCGGTATACATACTGCTCAACGTTTTTCTATCTGAGCGGTGTTAAACGACACAGTTTACTTTATGACTAAAAAATGGATCGTAAATTATCACGAACAGCCATCGTTTTCATCGTTAAAGGCAGTAACCATTGCAGTTTTTTCACCACTCACTGCCGTATACAACGTCGTTTCTGACCTGTGGAATTAATGAACTGGGATACTCTTATGCAAGATTAAGCCGATCGGATTTTTCTATGTATGCACAAGTAGTTGTCTAAACGCGCACTTATGCACGATTAACTTCTTTTGCATAAACAAAGCTGTGCATGCATTAAATAGGCATAACACAACTATGCATGCGAACCTGTGCATGATTGCCAACTCAATGTGAGCCGCTCATAATCTATACATGCATAATATGGCAAATTGTGATCTACTAGATTATATTTTCTACAGCAAGTATTCCTGTTGAGTCAAAAATTTCAAATAGCACAACAAGAAAAGATGGGGCGAATGGTACACTGATGCCTTGTATTTGCGTTACTAGGTGGATGAGTAAATAACCACTGGATGCATTTTCATCTCTCGATGAATGTACGATTAAATGCGCTGTGCACGCATACGTGTTTGTATTAAATAGTACAAGCATGAATACACTTCTAATCTTAAATATTAGAAACCAGGGTGGGGGTGGGAGTTTGGATGTGGACAGTGTGAGTGTAGGTGTATTGTATTCAACCACACACATACTCACCGTAATTCCTCGTAGTGCAGAGTTTTACTATAGTCACATTTCATCCTGACCCTAACTATGATCAGCTGATTGATGTAAACATAACTTTTCTCGATTTACAAAAACCAAAGTCTTTTTGTTCTACTAAAATTTAACATGGTTAGAAAAATATCGACATACGACAGAGACTTAGAACAATTATTCGTTTGTTAGCAAAAATCATTGCTTTCCGAGATTCAAGATTCGTGTTTCGCGATATATTTCGTATTCTAGTAAACTTCAAAGACCATCTAGTTTCTAATGGGTCTGTTAGTACTCATATCAGAAAATTCTTACGATTTCTTTT